ATTATGTAATTATATATAGTATTGTTATACGATATAATAATGTCATATTATTATATAAATAATTATATAATTTTATATATATAATATTATTATACGACATTATATATGTATATATATAATTGTATAATCATGATATTAGAATATGTATTATATAATATTGTAACTCGAAACTACATAAAGGGTGCGCACAAAGAATAGTGAAAAATACTGTATAAACAAATAAATCCATTCAGTCGAAGGAGTAATGATTGGATCAACAATTATCGCAACAAATAAGAAAGCTTATGACAAAATTTCAAAATTCCTTCCATTAGCCCGTATAGATTTACGACGCCGCTTGCAAAGGCGCGGCTACTGTACTATAGCGAAAAGTCGAAACATCTTCCTCCAGTAGAGATCACACGAAGTAAGCCACTGGATAGAGAACCGGCGAGTTTGACGGCTAAATGTCCTCGCCACAAAAGCGTGTAAACAGCTTTCGGCAGATGGCAATCATTCAACGGGCCGAATGCGCAGGACCGCAGTCCTGCTGAAGAGTAAATCCGTCGGCGCCTCACAAAATTTGCTACTGATAGCTAGCAGCACTGTTTTTGACGTTTCTCTTAATGAAGGGCAACTGCGTCTTTCCGGTGGCATAAATGCCGGTTCAGACCATTATGGAGGCCGGAAAATGACTGTGAGCTATGGTTTTCGCTACTGCTGACTTCTGCTGACCCTTCGTGGGAAATTCTCGTCAATTCTGGCGATTTTGGATGGTTTGACCGTGGATTTCTTTTCATCGTGAAAAGGACCTTCGACAAACGAGCACCAGCGATAAAAGAGTCATTCGTCAAGCATTTGAAAGCCGTTCTCCTTTCATCTTTTGTGCGGCAAGCGAACAAAGGAGATTTTGTAACTGCGCAGCTTCAGCTTATTTTTGGCAATATTTTGGACCCTTCACTCGCCGATCCCGACTTTCCGATCCATTTTGCTCATCAAACATTACGGATTTCGTTAAACTAGGCAGCGGGTCTTTTGAATGTTTTGCGAAGTGGATGAGTTGGTTGGATGCCTTTTTGGAGGGCGCTCGTCAATCCATAAAGTCTCTATGAAACGTATACAGCTATGTAGTCACTTGTTGCTCTGAACTCAGTCGATTTTAACAATGTCGGTAGTTTTTATTCCCTTCTTGTGCAACTTAATCATTGCGACACATTCATCTTTTCGATCCATGACTTTAGCTAAGTTGAAAATGCACATAAAATGAAACAAACCAAGATTGAACAGGGAATTCAATAACGTTACGAACATTATCAAAAAGATATCATATCAATGCTAAAATTAATAGAATACTGAACTTACAAAAATTTTTTGCGAACCCTATATTCTACGATATGCATTTTTTGGAAGTAACTTATCCGAAGAGTGTCGTAGTTTGATGATGACGTAAGTCTTGATGAAGTTCGCAATCACAATTCTGTGGAGTAATTATAATTATTCTGCTTAAAATAGTTAGCACTCAACAATATGTGCAATCGATCTCACTCAAGAGCAGATTACCTTTGTTTATACATTAGCGCAGATTTACAATCTACTAATTTAGCGTTCGATTTTTACTCCTGACAATCAACAGAGAGCACTTCCTGCTTTTCCAATCAACTTTATTAGTGACCCGATAGCTTGAGTGGTGAAAATTCTAATACTTGGCTCAACTTATGAAAAAGCTCTCACACTACGCTGTGCCAACAACGAGCAATGTTCGTTTTCGCTTTCGGGCTAACTATCCCTTTCTTTGAACTTCAAAACGGACCTTATGGACACTCATACAAGGAAATTGAGATGGCCGAAAAGCTTCATCGCTATGAAAGCATGGCATATTACCGAGGAAGATTTGATAGATACTACTAGTATGAAGGACGCACATGCGTTTCAACAATCAAAATTTTTAGTAAGAAAGCAACATCCATTAAAAAAATTAACATTTTTCCAACTTTTATTACGCATTCTTGTTACAAATCTAGTAAAAGTGAAGCGGTTTTTTCCTTTTCATCACTTACGCGATGGGCGTAGATAAGTCTGTTTTGCAGTTATTTCTAAATATCTGGTATGTAGATTTTGTAGAAACCAATTGTTTTCTTGCATGTGGGCCTTACTCCTCGTTGAAAACCACCTTCGTCACCAAAGAGTAGAATAAATTGTGAGTAATGACACCTTCTTCGACTATCCAACGATTGTCTCTTCATCAGTGTTCTCCTAATATTATTGGATGTGATGCAGGGTAATATTGACTTTCCTTTCCTGATGTTTGGAATTCCTGATGTTTCTCTTTTTTCGGAGAATGAGGTCAAATTGACTCTCAATCTCTTCAGTTGATCATTTGAAGGTGCACCTCCTCAAACAATAAATTCCGAGTGACAACAATGAACAATTGAGGATTATGCGATATTTACTAGTTTTCCTAAGCGCCTGTGGCTCTTCCGGCAGAATCCCTCCATAACGCAGAAGTATTTGGCACCTTTTCGTATATGTGAGCCATAAATACTTCGTAAATTCAACAAAGTCTATCTATCCAAGCGATGAATGTGGACGTACGTACACATGGGAAAAATTTGGGTGCACCAGTCCGTGGTTTACTGGTGGACGACCACAGCCATCAGCACGTGATCACTTCGAAGAAATTTTGAGAGGTTCGAACTTGAGGGAGGTACAGAGAATCTCTTTGAAAGCGGTTAGCTGAAAAAATAGAAATAACAGGCAAAATCAGTGGACAAGTCCAGTGGCAAAAGTTTCAACGTTGAATAATGTTCATAGTAAAGTACAGGTGTATATGTAAAGGACGGCTACCTATGGGCAATAAAGGAAAGCATGTTTTATAATCCAATATGTCCCAACTCTTGAAGTACACTAATGATCCAATAATTATCCAGAATTATTGATGAACTAGTATCGCAGGCAGTTTGCATCATCATTTTTGACCAACTATTCATTACTTTCCCATTTTCAGCCACTGGAATAATTTTGGATAACGTGCATAATGGAAAATATTAAAACCTAGAGACATTTTGTAAAATCCTTTATTTAACTTCCTAAGCTATGATTGATTAGTGAACTAGCATTTTTCATCATACATATGGGCTATTTAAGTTCCAGAAGCATATGAGAAGCATATGAGGAGAGTAAATTGTGATGTTTCAAACGAAAGCGAGAAACTCAATGATTTCTTGGAAATGGAGAGTAAACACCTAGTTATAATAAGTAACAAAAATAACGCACCACCTTGCGATTCGCGTTACGGGTAGCGAAACTCCAAGAAGCTGATAGAATGTGTCAAGTTTCTTGGTAACCATGGATATCGAAATGAAGAATTTTGAACATCACAACATCACGTCTTTATAGTCGAAACTTATTTTCATCGAGATTTTTTCAAATCAGTAGTAATTGCTATGAAAGGGTACTTGTTCATTGTAAGGCGACAAATGAATTTTCGACCCCATTCGCTAGATAAGAACTTTTCATAGAGTGTTAGTAATCATCGAACAAAATCTTTGACTAGAGCCGTGCGTAGCTGGTTTTTCAAAATGCGTTTTTACCAGGCTGTAAAATTCAAAATAGAAATTTGTTTCACATCGGATACGCAATTCAAGTATTATTTTGTTAAAAACACAGAAAGCACATGAAAGTATACACAAAAGTTATAGTATCATATTCATTCGTTTTAATATGAATTTTCTTCCAAAGCGGAGAAGCGATCTCCAGTTGAGTAACAAACATTGTTTTTTATTAGAGAAATTTGATTGATCACCGCGCCCAATACCCCTTGGCGCCCTATCCCTTAGCCCATGAGTTGGCTAAAGAGCACGTGATCGAGAATAGGAATCAACCTTATTTTCCCTGCTACACTCCGGGGAAAGATTTTCTTCAGGAAATAGGCATAGCGTTAGAATCCTTAAATCTTACGCTATCGAATGACTACTAATGTCCTACAAAAGAGCTTAACATGCCAAAGTGTAGCACACAAATGTTTTCCTTCTCCTACAGTGCTATCAAAGAAGCTTTTCTAAAACCAAACACATCTGTGGTTCTTGGAGACTTGTGCTACAGAAAGATTACTAACGGTTTAAGGAATGAGTTCTGTCCCGTGAGATATGAGCACGATAAAAAAGCGCATGCCCGTGTGAAGCATAATTTTGTTTTTGACACACCGTCGTAAAAGGTTCTTTGAAAAATTGGCCCGTACGACTCTAACCAAAGATACAAGTTTTCGATGATTACTAACACTCCGAAAAGCTCTTGCCTAGCGAATGGGTTCGAGTATTCATTTGTCGCCTCGTAATCAACAAGTGACCTTTCATAGAGTTATCAGTGGTTTAAAAAAAATCTCGATGAAGAGATGTTTCGACCATAAAAAACAAAGCGATGTTTAAGAATTCATCTTTCATCATGTCAGTATCTATGGTTACCAGAAAATTTGAAACATTTTGATCATTTCGGCTTTTTGGAATTTCAAAATTCTAACGACTTAAGATGAACATATAACCCCAACCTGTATCTCTAAAAATAATAGGGCAGTTTGGACACTTTATTGATCCGTCTACACACTGTTTCTTTTTCACTGTGCGGATCCCAGTACTGTAGCATCCGATTCGTTGCTTCGTCTCCTTCTTTGCCGTCGTATAGTACTGGTTGAGCGAGCCTCCTTGGCGTTGGTGTTGGCTGTCAGAGAAAGTTGGGTGGAGGGGAGTGGAGCTCAACTCCACTCGCGCAGCAATGTGCATCACATCCACTCGGCGACGGGGCCTCACAGGAGAGCGTCCAATTTAAGTTTGCCAAGTCTTGAAGATTTTAGTTATCGATGGTTATCAGTAATTATCTGCGCGTTTAAAATGTTTCAAAGTGTCAAAATATTTCATAGTATGGCAGTGAGCACCTTCATATTCTAAACGTTACTACCTAGTCTCGTATCGGAAATCCAGTAGCATTTTCTAATAGCTTGCACACAGAAAGAGTGGTGGGAAAAACTGACGTCAGTAGTGCAACGGGTAGAAGCACCCTCTACCGAATGGAGTGAGATGCGGATTCGAGTCCCGCCTGACGCAAAAGTTTTACACATCCCTCCATATCACTGAATATAAATATAAATATAATGGTTGGCATTAGCGGTGAAAGCTCTGTTCTGCATCTGGTAAACTCGGAGAAACGTCTTCTTGAACGAGTTCATTGACTGGCAAGTTGATCAATTTTTAATATATAAGTTTTATCCGATGTAACGATTTGTAGTTTTTGTATGGAATATTCAACTATGATAATACAGAAATGGCCTAAATATAAAACTCAAGCACTTACAAATGCTGATAGTAAATTGCTAGGAAGACTGGTCCCCACGGGCGATGGAGCACAGCTTTTTCTATAGTCGTTTCATATTTCAGCCGTTGAAGTCTTCTAGGTATAAAAATATTATCATCTATTATAGAAAACTTCCAAGTAAGTGAAGAAGTAAAATTAAGTGTATCGCCATTTCGAGTTTTTTGCTTCGGAATTTGGCGCTAACAAAACCGCCATTAGATCATAAAATCTGTTTACTTAGACGCGATGTGTGATGAAGAATGAGTCAGCCGTGCTTTTCCTTCAATAATCTTCACAGCGATAACAAGTAAGCCTTTTACTTTTCAAACAGCAAGATTTTGGCATTGCCTATCTTCAATGCAAAATATTTGTGCCGGTTCATTAGGTTATCTATTTGTGGCTCATGCCATTGCCATCCAAACACTGCCACTTTATTTAGCTCCTTCAATTTTTGTTTTGACTGTCAACATTTTCAATTGTCTAGAATGATTCATAACAAATGTGCACTTTGAATCTCAATCAAATTGATTTTTGCAAACCTTTCTCATTTTGTGATTACACTGCAAACTATACTCCGTTGTTATTGGCCATTTTTCTTTTAGACGTACTTCATTGCTATAGAAAAACGATTTTAGACGTTTCAACAGTGCCGGTATTGATGTGAATGCTCACGCGACAAAACATTATATATATAATATATATATATATATATGTATATATATATACGATAGTACAATAATGTTGAGTGATATGGAAACTTTGAGCGCAAACGAGATGCAATGATAGCACAAGTCTACTGAAAGGGTCAAATGCGGGCTCAATATCTGGCTGACGTTCAAAATTTTGCTAAGTACTCAACATTATTGGATATTATCTTTATGGTAGACATGCGATACGAAAATTGTACGAACTTTCAATTGCAGATTTGAGTCTCTCAAGCTCATGCTGAATTTCAACAATTGAGCTTTAAAAAACATCACAATCTACAGGATTGTTCACAAATCGTTTTTGTTCTCTCGAGGTAAAAATCCGAATCTTCATATTCCATTTTCCACATTTTTTTGCGTCAAAACTCGCATTGCAAACGTGAAAGCAGTCGAATGTCTTGAGACTGAAATTACGCTAACAGAAAGTTCTAATTCTAATTATATCGAAATCTGAAAGATGCAGTGCACAAAGCTCATATGCGTTTCATGAGATAGAGATAAGGTTCTTCCGTAATTGTGAATATTCGTGTTCTTTCGAGTTACTACTAATATGGAGAAATCATCTGGCATCACTGCTGAGAAACCGAAAATCGAGAAAACGACCAGAGATAAATGAATTGATGATAATGAGGCCATTAACATCCTTACCTTCAGTAGGACCCTAGGTTTTCTGATTCTAACAGCAATGTTGAACTGTTTATAAAACATTTCGCAATGAGTTGGAATTATCTTCTGAGAGAAAACAAACTACCAAGTATTCCTTTTATGAGAGTCGGTGCTTCACGTCATTCTCGGCGACAAAAACATCCTTAACCTTTGTACTTATCACACAAAGCAGACTCTATGTGGAGCCAAGAATTCGTAAATCGTATCAAGTGATGATCTCCGAGTCGTATTGACTAGCTAGAACATCAGAATATTCGCCCATCGACCTAAAAACTTTCTCCTAACTCAATTCAAAGTAGGCATGAGCAAAGTTAACTAAGCAGTCAATTTTCACTCGAACAGAAAACCGAAACGTCTTTTCGCTTCTCGTAATAAGGTAATATCTTCACTTATTGTTGAAATGTTTGCGAATTACAAATGGCTTGATTATATTAATTTCTAAACGTCGATTTTATTTTCAGACCAATCGATGGTTCTCTACCAAAATTAAACCTAGCGAACTATGAAACCAATGTGTTTAGGGCTACTACTCATAGGATTTTCATTACCAATCACGTTAGCTGAAGAATGTACAGTGAGTAACTTTAAGAATGGTTTTGAAGAAGTCTTAATATAACTTTACACTCCGCAGACATGATCTGGTAGACTATCCTCCAACATCTGGAGTTTTTTTTTTCAAATTCAAAAAGATTATAAACTCAAAACTTCTACTAAATTGTCAAGTGAACGTATCAAATAGTACCATAAAAAACTATCATCAAACTCGGCAATTTTAGCTAAAGTCTAAAGGCGAATAGGAGATACTTTATCAACTTTATTGACTTGTTTAATTAATTAACATGACTTGTCATCACAACTACTGTGTTGGCCCCACCAATCCTTGTATTCGATTCGTTTCCCCGCATTCGTCCACTCCAAAAATCTTCGAAAATTTTGTGCTGTTTCGGCTGTTGTTTGAATATATCGCCTTCTTTATGAATGCCGTGGAATGCTTGGCGATGGATTCTCCTTGAAATCGTTATAGTAGCCGAGCTAAGACGTGCCCACATGGATTGTAAGAGAGCTATAGAAGGTTAAGCCAACCGAGCACCTTTCTAGCTGATTACTCCATTGTTGACCACTACGCTATTTGCCACGGCCGTCAACTGGCAAATTAGGATCACATAGAATAGCAAAAAGGAGGCTTAAAAATGTTAGTAGTGTACAGAGAATGGAAACACTTCACATTATTACCAAAGGCAGTGGACATTTTGATATGTACAGTTTATGACTGTGTAAGTGAGCCGATCCTGCTGCGATAAGATTTCCGTTTCCTATCGGAATCTTTGTAACTCTTTCGGTGACATTTCAAACTATTTGAAAGCAAAAGAATTATTTATTACAATTAAATTACTCAATACGTTCAGAACGAGCAGAAAGAAGAAAAGTTGACGAGATATCCAATCGTTTTGTTCAAATGGAGCGAGGTAAAAGTGCCATTAACAGTATCGCTTTGGCTCGTTGGGGCCAGCATAGCTAAAATCAGTGAGTTCAGTCCTTTTTTTCCTAAATTTTCACTCTTCTTCTTTGTTCTGTTGATCTCCTTAAAATTTTTAGTGGTGTATCAATTTTTTTCTAAGAAAATTGACTCTTTCTTGAGTTTTTTTTTTTAAATTCCTTTTCTCTTAACCGCAATTCATGCCTACAAAGTTGTCCAAATCTCCAAGGTAATGTCATCAGTTGACGCTAACTGTTCTCACTCTTCAAGCACCCTGCATCTGCGGCGTCATTTTCATAGAGTAACGACAAGAACTTTGTATAAGAGTAAAAATATGCTAAGTCGGCGCTTGCAATTTCACGGAATAGTCACTTAGCAGTAAGCATGCAACCGGGAGACTATAGTTGAAATTTCTCAGTCAAATAGTTGCGAATAGAAGTTGGTTCAGCGTCCAGTTTGCGTAGTTTTAACCAGCATAACTAGCCACACGTGTTCTTGTAGCCGCTTCCTTGCCGAGCCTTGAACGGCGCAAAGGCCATTTGTTTCCATGTTATTTTGACCATGTTATAAGACGTCTTCACGCCACGTTAAAGAATCATTTTTTGGTAGTTTGTCTGAAGTTGAACAAGAGAAAAAAAACCCTGTCAGGTGGAATAGGGGTGTAGGGCAGTACGATGATAGAAGCCATCTTCAGTGAACAAAACACACAGATTGTCTTCAACCACAGTGTGCGAAATCAGATGCGATGGATGTGTGAAGCCATTGAAGAACACATTTTTGAAAAGAGGCTAAGCAGTTCGGACTCTGTGAGACGAGAAGTGAGGGATAAAATGAAAATGAGATGAAAAAAATGATCTTGAATAATCGACATTTGGTACAAATCGCAATGTATAGAGTGCACCATATAATGAAAGTCCATTGTCTTCGTTTATAGACCGACAATCTCAAACTCCTAGTATGTCATCTTTGCTTTTCCCTAAGTATAAAGACTGTTTTTCATGTAACACTTTTTCTAAATTACACAACGCTGCACTAATCTTCTCTCTCTTTCAGTTTTCCACGCAATCCCTCATTTGACGGAAATGTTTCCCGATTCGGCGTTACTGATTATGATTGGCCTCATCATAGGAATCATTTTCAACATTATAGGAGTAGCAAAGGTACGTGGAGAAGGTAGTACACTCCTTAAATGTTGCAGCAGAATCCTTGACTCAAATCTCGTGTTCTCTCTTTTCAGAATGAATTTTTCTTCAACAGTGAGGTGTTCATGTTGTTTCTCCTTCCTCCAATGGTTTTCGATGCCGGTCGGTTTTTTTTTAACTTTCAACGCAGTAACGTCCTTCTATCCCATTGATTTCCTTCTATCCCATTGATTGTTATTCTGTTGATTAATTAGGCAATCTTATGTGGAAGGAGTGGAGTCGTTATACACCTTAGTCTTATATGAAGTTCAGTCATTCCTCTCATTTGTAAGAGACGAAGAACATCCGAGTTTTGCTACCTTCCTCTTCAATTTCGCGGTCTGCCCAACTCAGTGCGACATCCGTTTCTTAGCAGCCATACAGAGAGAATAAGTTTTGGAGATAACAGGCTTGGAGCCTGAGGTTTAAAAAAATTTGACGGTAATTAATTAATCAACACAAATCCTTAGGTTCTACAGTTCAGCAGATAACACTGTCTCTAATACTATGTTAAAACTTCTTTACTGAAAGCTTGTAAAAAAAACCACTTATATCCTAATGTCAAAAAGCTGGTGCACTAAGTTTATTCAGTAGATTTCATAAGATCTAATATTTTTCTGCTTCTTTCAACGCCTACTAAGGTTATAGGTAATAATACATCTAAGATTAAATTTCTGCAATTGTACAAGTAAAAAAATATTGAAATTCTCCAGCGTATGCAC